TTCCTCAATGCCGTTGTGTATTGTCCGCTCTGGCGGCAATCCCAAGCTGAATATTTGAACGTATGCCATTTTTTTTTAATTCAGCAGAATTTTGAGGATGTATTCTATATAGCAGCAGACTTTTGCAGTACTTCACGGCACTTTTTTTACGCGATGATACACCGCTAAATTTGCGGTAAGACATTTGTCAACAAACCGCCTTAAAAGGTTTGAGAATTTGAATTTTGTAAATAAACGGGTGTCAACCTTTGTAGTGTCAACTTATGTTTATGCAATGCTGATTTTGTCAAGAAAATAATAAAACGTTTCGAAACAACAATATATACAAATGCTAAATCTTAATGAATTATCAGTTAGTGATCTACAATGAAAAGTAAATAAAAGCATATAAATAAAAAAATTATTAAAATTATTAATTAAAATCAACTAAAGCTTTAATTGCAGATATAATTAGCAAATTAAGCTAAGTAATGACTTAACACATTACCCCTAATATTTGAAGACATTTTTAAATCCGTTTTAGTCATGCTTAACCCTTTCGCCGTCCTCTCTTGTCCGAGAAAATTTCCCCCCAACTGCCGTCTGTTTTTCGTAGCGTGTAATGTTGTTTTCTCTGCACATCATAACTTCCCATACATAAACTTTCGTAGTGGATGAATGTCAATGAATATTAAATAAAATTAATGCAAAGAAATTAAATAATGAAGAATCTGCATGAATACATGTACGTTTCTTGCACTGGGACAAAACCGACAGTATCTAGAGCCATCAAATTTTGAATAATGTAATCCTCTACTCGAACATGCGCATCTGGACGGCCGAATTTCGAACACTGTTCGGAAAATAACAATTTTATCTCCAGTGCGGAAATTCTAAAGATATTCTGTTTTCAAATGTATGTGGTTTACGGGCGAAGAGCATGATATTCAATAAATATAGGTAACACACAAAACTTTAAAAAAGTTCCCTTTGGACGTAAATATAAAATCTGAGTGCTTCTAGATTTTATTTCATTTATCTTTTTTTTCCTATTATTACGCTCAGAAAATTTTATGCTCCGAATTTTATGAATTATTAAAATAACTAATTCACTTTAATGTTAATAATTTAATGATCATATAATCAAATAAATATAATGGTTTTGTAATATTATTATAGTTTGTAAAATCACTGACTGAAAATGTTCATTAAATTTTAAAAAAAATATCAGATCTTGTTTAGGTGCTACTTTGGTAGAGGGTTGCACAGATTTTGGCAATTTTTCTTTTGGCGAGTAATACGACTTATGGTAAACCCATTGCTGGATAAGTTATTTATGGTAACCGATACTTTGTTGACATTTTATTTAAAAAATAATGCGTGTTATTATGCATAAATTCCGTGTTTTAAATATTATTTATGGCTTCTAAATATTAAAAATCAATTTAATTTGCATTTTTATTTGAAATAAAAATTTTATTCTTTATCATGTTTAATGAAATTTTATGCTGTGGATGATGTAATCAGTGACGTCACTTTACTTTAAAAGTAATTGGTTTTAATATCTATAAATTTAATCTAATGTTTAAACATTATTTATGGCTTTAAATATTAAATACAATTTAATTTCTTTTTTAAAATGATTTTATTATGTATGATTATTTAAATAATTTTAATTCTAGGCGTGATGTAATCAGCTCTCTGATTGGTTATAGAATATCTGTGTATTAATGAGCTGTAAGTAGCTCCCTGGTAGGTTGCTGAAAATTTGTGCCTTAATTTTAAAATTTAATTCATATCTTCGAATTCCTTCAAAAATGTCTCCTTCAAAGATGAACGTTGTTTTTGATAAGTACCAAGAATTTTTTGGTTTCGGAATCAAAAATTGTCCTTTGAGACTTATTTCGCCAGCCTGGCTTTCCTAATCAAAGATTTATTTTATAATTCTTACAAGGGTTAAACAAAATTTATTTTATATTTTGGAGGAAAACGTCGCTAATTGTTTCTTCAATGAAGTGCGAAAATATAGATCACAGATGAAGACCGTTAGAAGAAGTCGATTCTGAGACGGCCGTATATGATATTGTGGTCATGTTGGAAGAAATAACCGCTGTAACGGTAAGAAAATTATTAGACATTCCTCCTTTTTACCGACAATAAACTATTGCTGTCATTTTAGCTCTAGTGTACGAAGCGTTCTTATTTACTTATTTTTAAAGTATTTAATTTAAGTAATATTTTAATTCTTTTAAACGTTGGATAATGGTTTTTTAATTCGATATTCAATTTACGTAATATTTTAATTCAATTAAACGTTTGCGCAATGTTTTTATAGTGGTATTTTTATTCTATTTCTATGCTATATGAAAGTAATAATTTAACCTTTCTTTAGTATTTTCATACTCGTAGTAAATGTATTTATTCTATATAATATATATATATATATATATTATATTCTATATTACGTATTTTAAAGTATTTAAATTTAATAATATTCTAATTCTTTTAAATGTTGGATGATTTTTTTTTTTTTTTTTTTTTTCGATATTCAATTCAGCAATATTTTAATCTAATTAACGTTTGGCACAATGTTTTTATAGCGGTGTTTTTTATTCTCTTCTTTGCTATATGAAAGTAATAATAACCTTACTTTAGTATTTTATACTCATAGTAAATGTATTTATTTACACTTGCCTGCCATCTTAAAAAACGACATTTTCAACAAAAAAATTAATCCATTATTTTTAACGATATTTATTTTTTTTTTTAAGTTTCGAATACAGTAAGACCCCGCTTAACGCTGTTTCGTTTAGCGCTGTTTCGGTTTAGCGCTCTTTTATTTCAACCCGGGGATTCCACGAAATCGCTCGCAGCATACGGGTATTCCCGGAAATATGCAGCGATAGGTTTCAAATACATATCCGAAAGAGTGTACTTGTATTTCTTGTTTGGTGCGGTGTTGTACAGACATATTTTGAAGGGGTAAATATGGAAGATGTCGAAGAAATAATTCAAGAAGCAGCGGCTAGTCTTTCTAATGATGAGCTGAAGGAATTAACTGAACAAGAAGAAAACAAAAATGTTGACAGCAGTGATTCAGAAGAAGAGCAAAAAGAACTTTCGATGGCGTTTGTAAAAAGGAGTTTGTCTACCATAACTGAAATAATGGATCAATTCATTGAAATGATCCGAATTTTGACAGGAGCTCAAAAGTAAGGCGTGGTGTTAGAGATGTTCTATCCTTTTATGAAGAACTTTTAAGAGAACAACGCAAAAGAAAAAGGCAAACAACATTAGATGCTTTTGTCACAAAAAGGCAGAACACTGAAAACGCGGAAGGCTAACTAAATATGATTTGACTTAGAATTTTATTTGTTTTTTTTTAAGAATATTCGTTTTGTTATTTATATTTTGTTTTTATTTTTGCAAGAAATAATAATGTGGTATTAATTTGGGCTTTAAGAAATAAATGTTTGGTTTTATTTTTATTAAAAAAACATACTTTTTAAATTTAATACCTAACCAATTTCCTAGCCATCTTCCACTAACCCCAATATTTACATGTAAAGATAGCCTCGTTTAGCGCTGTTTCGCATTACGCTCTACTTTGATGGAACGTATCCCCCGCGTTAAGCGGGGTCTTACTGTATTTTAAATGATAAGTGTTTTGGGGCTATCTCTAGATTTGTACTAAAATTTATGTGTTTTCAGGTTGGAGATCTTAATTAGTTTTCTTTTATTGGGAGATAGCAGACTGATGATTTTGTTATGGAAATGCATTTCACATTTTGTTTTAATAAATAATCTTTGATTCTAACAAAACACCAGGGAGCATATTATCTATTTATTCTTTAATTTAAAGAGTTGAATGAATTGATCTGATAAACTTTATGAGTTGTGGTTTTAAGTGAATTTTGTTTAACCTAAAGAAGTTTTGTATTCAAAATCTTAATGAGTCAGATAAGATTTTGTTTACTTTGATTGTAAGAGTTTTTTTAGTTTTAGATTTTTATGTCGCGGCACCAAACAGAAGTTAAGTAAAACAGTAGTTTAAAATTAATTTTAATGTTTTTTTTTCTACGTAACAAGATTATAAGAATTTTGCTGTATTCCTTTACATTGATTAGCTATAAAATTGCACACATTTTACATGAGTTCACCTTTTGGGTTGTTTTTCTTCTTCATCAATAAAATTTGCAGTTCTGTACGTTTGCAGTTTACTATGCGTAAAAACAGCGTTTTTCAAGATGGCTGACGTTTGTAGAAACTGCGCCAACGTAAATCGCCAAAAATCCGTGCAACCGTCTACCAAAGTAGCACCCTAGTTTAATTTTACCTTATTTATTCCAAAGTATCACGTACTATCAATCTTATTTAATTTTACTTTATTTTTTACGCAAGATTAAGTTCATAAATTTTGTGCTTAGAGTTTTTACCGTTTTACCAAAGTAAAGATGTTTGTACAAGAATTATGCGTGAAAAAAATGCGCGAAAATGCAGTAGAAAGTGCTTTAATGAGATATATTAAATCCTATTTGGAGAAAACTGTGGCTTTCATAATCTCATCACAACACAATGTATCACATTTAGTAATTAAAAAGATTTATGCGAAACAAACGCCATAGGTTTCAGTGTTAATGAAGTGCTGACATTGAATTCAGGTTTTGAGAAATCATGCTTGAATTCAGATTTCACTCAGAAACTGAGACACTACGAAGAATTCTTTCAAAGAAGCCCAGAAGGTTCCAAAATTTATTGTTTAAGCTCTCTATGCTTATAAAGTCAAAATGATAAGTCGAATAAACTTCACCGTACAGAGAACGCAATTTCTCTGCCTTCAAAATTTTCTTTTTGCGTATAGAGGGTGTAAATATATTCATTTGTGTAAAGGAGCTATTTTATTTTGTTATTCTTGGCGTCTTCCAAAGAAATCTTGCATATTCTCAAATATTATCATGCGCGTCTTCAGCAAACCAGCCACACACATTCATCATTCTCAGAGATGCAATTTCATCTAATGGCAGTATCGCAACATTGTTTTGGTGCGGTTTCGTTTCTCTCTGCGGAAAGCCGCTTAGCAAAAGCTATTTGTCAGTGTTTTTGGCAATAATTTTTATGCAAATAATCATACGTGGCCTTTTTGAAACAATGTGTTTTAATTGTTGTTTTAATTGTAAAATTAAGTGAAATTTATAAGTGAATGCAATGTCCGTTCCACCTCCATTGGTGTTTTTATGTTTTTCTCTAGGATTTTTAATTCGTTTAGTATTTTTGAAATCAGCTTTTCTAACCAATGCTCTTGCCTCTCGAGTTGAAATATCAACACCATTAACATCCTGGAAAAGAGGTAGTTACTGAAATCACTTTTAATAATGCACTGTATTCGTTTCAAAATACTTAGTAGAAAATCATGCTTTTAATGATAAGCCAAATAATTTACTACAAATTTATAAAATAGTTCATTCTGGCTGGATTTTAATCAAACAGAATACGAAAATTAAATTTTCCACTTACTTTTCTTTAAGTCTACTTTAAATCAGATGTAAAAGACTGAGTGATATTTGAATTACTTTCTAATGAAGTGACTATCCAACATGTATTTGTATTAATTTGGGAAATTTATAATAACAGATGTATTCATTATGAGAAATCTGATTGATAAAATACTTTTAAAGAATTACATCTAGTTCCATTCTTTAGTTTTGTTTAATTTATTCATAGTGTTGATTAGAAAGTCAATTCTCATGTTCGAATGAGTTCTCTGCTGTAAGATTAAAATACATGATATTAAAGATCTTTGAGGAAGTTATTTCAAGCAACTTTACACAGATATATTTCACTTCAGAAATTTATTTCAACTGTGTATCTTGGCCAAGCTAGTTAATGAATTATTTGAAATCAGGGTTGGATCCTAGCAGAACCCACACCCTTGCCACGATAACACGAATGATTTTGGTTGGCGATAGTTGTGCCAATCTTGGTAACCCTACTTTGATACACTAGATATTCGAAACACATAAATCCTTGAACTAAATGTAATGTGCAGAATCACCCATTTATATGTTGTGTATCGATGTGTACATGGACAAAGTCAAAGGAGTGTGTAATGCCAAGTTTGTGCAATTCTCTAATGTTTTAAGTGAAAATAAGTCGATGTGTACATGGATACAAAGTTTGTGCAATTCTTTGACTTGGTATTTTCCAAGTTGGCAATTTTGAGAAACATGCAAAGCAGTGGGTGATTCTGCACTTTCCCAGTTTGTCGCCAGCTCTCCTAGAATTTTACCGAAATCAGTATGCTGATATTGTTTTTAGGAACTCACTTTTGCATTCCAGTAATTTAGAAGTGAATGCAAGTCCTGTGCTTGAATGAAATACTTTTCTATTGATTGTGGTATATGTGTTGAAATTTCTGTTTTCTGTATATTTCGTTCGTTTATTAAATGTGAAAGAAGTCATTGATGAGTTTTTGATTTAGTTATTTGTTAGCTGCAGATTAATTTATATTATAAAAAACAAATGAGGAAGTGTAATCAAAAGATTCCCTTTTGTAAATGTAAATTCTTTTATGATATAATTTCATGAACTGAAATATGTTTTTAATTGTATAATGTTAAAAATGATGTACTTAAAAACCAAAATCAGATGAATTATGTAGTTACATAAGTAAGTAATCGAAATCTGCACTAGACTAAGGTTGCCCTTTTTTTTTTTTTTTTTTTCTTCGCTAATTTAAAATTTGACATTGGTGCATTTCTCTTCCATTTGATTTGTTTAATTATTTAGCCTTCTTGAGCACTTGAGAAAAAGAAAGGTTAGCTTAAATGCCTTGTTTCTAAATCAGAATACTACATTCTTAAATTCCCTCATGTTTGAATTAAAACTTATTAAAATACGTAGGTTGGGGCCAACTATTTTTTTTCTTGAAGATGCCAGTCCGGTTGGAAAATGTGACATATGCAGACGAAAGGATAAGGTCTTAACTACATGTGTGGACAATGAATAGCACTGAAATATCGTAACACTTGAATTTATTACGGTAGTATACAGGGCTATATGGCTTTCACCGTGCAAAAGAATGATAACACAATACACATAAAGTTGACATGACAAACCTGGGCCTAAAGACCCTCAATGTAGTCCCCTGCTACTGTCACCACGTGCTGCCAACAATGTGGAAGGTGCTGTATACCATCAGCCTCAGCATTTGCTGCACCATGTGTGAATCGGGTCATCTGTTGGCGCACAGCATTAGCAATGTCCTCTCAAACCACCTACCACGTATTGGTTCCTTAATCTTGGGAATGAGATCAAATTAACAGGGCGAAAGGTCAGGAGAGTACGGTGGGTGCTTCCAATTCTTCCCATCCCAACGTCGGAGTGGCTGCCGTACACACTTTGCTTTATGTGGTCTTGCATTGTCATGCAGAATTATTGCACTGTCCACAAGATCCGGACATTTATCCCGAACGCCATGTCATACGTGTCGCACCAGGAAATCCCTGTAGTACTGTGTGGTCACTGTTCTGCCATAAGGAACAAAGTGGCAAAAAATGACACCCCTGATGTCATATGTGACGATCACCATCAATTTGATTGGGGAAGGATTCTGACGGACCTTCTGCTGCCTTGGTGATCCAGGATGTTGCCACTCCGCAGACTGACGTTTCAGTTCTGGTTCGTACACCCTGGCCTAAAATTCATCAATGGCGATTATTCGTGACAAGAATTTATCGCCGTTCTGTTGCCAGTGGGTAAAGTGGTCGGAGCATATTGCATAGTGCACCCACCTTTGAACTTCCATCAGTGCATGCGGTACTCACCGCGAAGCGATTTTGCATAGCTGTAGCTCATTACACAATATCCTGTGGACGATGCGTTTCTCGATGCTACTTGTCCTCTCTAACTCCAGTAACGTCCATCATCTGTCTTTATTCATGAAATGCTCGATTACAGCACTTGCCAAGTCGGTCCGCACACTTACTGGTTGTCCTGAACATTGCTCAACACTGGTTGACAGACGTCCTTTCTGAAACTTTCCTACCCACCGTGCTACGGTATGATATGGTAGGGCATTATTCCCACGGGCTTCTACTAATTCACTGTGACATTCCATCGCATTTATCCCCCGGAGAATGGCTATTTTGATGTAAGTGCGCCGCTCAACACGAGTTACTTCCATCTCACATGACACTCACCAGCTGACTGATTTCAGAACCCTCGCTACCACAGAGACAACTATCACAGAGCCATCTGTTGTTCTGCATACGTACTATGCCTGCAGAACTTCCAAACAATACATATACGTTTTGTGATTCGTTCACATATCTACAAGAAAAAATAGTTGCCATGTCTTTTGCCCCAACCCTCGTATATTATTCTTAATTTTATTTTATTTATTTAGTTGAGTTGCCAGTACATGTTATTGACCTGGTTTGAAAGTGTTTAATAACATGAATTTTATAAATATTAAAATCCCCTACACATATGAAATTCAAGGGAACATTTTTAGTAACTTGATGTAGAAATATTGTCATTAGCCAAAGAATAATTAGAATAATTTCCTAGGTAAAGCAGATAAGGTACTTTCATGTTTGTATCTTTGTTCCTTTTTTTTGACATAATGAAAAGTCTGTTTTTGAAACTTTATATATGCTTCATTAATTATGGTTCTTATTATAGCTGTTGAAGGAGTAAGTTTATTGAAACATGGAACAGATCCTTATGATAGTGATATCTTTCATGAGGTGTGTATAGTTTCAGATGTTTGTATAGTTTCAGGTGTGTTTAGTTTTCATTTCTTTCAACTGAAAAGCATAAGTTTGATCTCTCATTATAAAATTTTAAATAACCCTTTGGATATTTAAAAAAAGGAAAAAAAAAAAGTTCTTCTTCAAACATTTTCTTTAAAAAATATAATTACTTAAAATTGGATATATTTCATCACCTAAACAAATTGCTAAAATGTTCTGCTTAGATGCTTTATGTGTTAACCAGCAGACAAGTCGGCCATTGAACTCAGTTGACCACTATCTTACATTCTTTAGAAGTAGTTTGATATTTAGAAAGTCATTTTGTCTAAAAGAAAATCTGAATATAATTTGCTGACATCTTTTAATGCTGTTATGTCTAATTCTGGAGGTGGTAAACCAGAAATACAATTTGGCATTTGCATTTGCAAAATGAAATTACAAAAGAGATTTATGTCAACTGTAAGTAAGTTGGCTGTACAATGATGATACTGCCTGCAAATACTGATTGCAAGCAAAATTGTTATTATGCAGATAGGAATTATGTCTTGAAACATCCTTTGAATAAATATTATAAATAGTCTACTACATAAGTTCATTTTATTTTTAAATACACTTCCTTCTACTTCCTATAGTATCAATCAGTTTCAGTTACTTCATACATTTTTGCCAGTTAATACCAATTTTATTGTAAAAAAGTTTTAAGTGGTGGTTTCCTGTTTTAAACCACTTTAGCAAACACTTGCCAGCTCTCCTGGTTTAAACCACTTCAGAATACACTTACCAGCCCTTGTAGAAAGCAAAAGTAATTATTATTTACATTGAATTTTAGATAATTTCTTCCATGATAGATTTATAAAGCTTCTGAAATAATTTTTTTTTATCATTATTTAGGATATGAGGATTTATTATTATGAGGAATATTTTTCATTTTAAGCATTGGACATTTTTTTTATAGGCCCATTTTCTAAGATCCCTAGGAAGAATATTTTACAAGTTCAGTACTTTTATTGCTATTAACTTTCTAAATTTTTTTTAAAAGTTTCCTACTATAATGTTTATTTTGTATATTTTTTTTTAAATCTTGTATGCTAAAATTACTTAAAAACTGGAATTATGTATATATTTTAGGTACTGTTCTGTTATTGGGACTGGAGTTGCAGCCAAATGCTCTGTTAAACTTGTCATGAGAGTGATTTAAGGAAGTTGTCAATGTTTCTTTTAAAATTGTTACAATGTTTACATTTTAAAAATGTAAAGGAATGCATTTCAATATTGGCAATGAGAATACAAATTCTAAAGATGTAACAGTCACTTTTGTTTTTATTATTCTTGTATTTACCATGGATTTTAAAATTTAGGACTTACCTAATGATGAAACATCTTCCCTTCAACTTCTTCAGGAATGAGGAATCGTTCACTCTTAAAGACAGTGTATGGAAAACCATAAAATTAAGTTCTATTACAATTCGAAAGAAGTACCGGAATGGAGTTGTGAAGATCTGGATTTGAACATTTCTTGTGTTAACCATAAGTAAAATTTTATCGGTCCCGATACTTGTTATCATTCTCAAAACTTTTCAAAAGTTATGAGAGTGCGAAACAGACTTCAACATGGCACTGAACGTAACCAATTAGATTCTTATTTGACTTAATGAGGTGACAGCAGTGTCCTAAAATGCAAATCTATTCATACATTTTAAATGCTATCCACAGTTTCATGCCTCTGCATTAATCTTAATTCACTGAATTCTCTTTTAAAAAAATTCTTTGATAAGTTGAGAGGGTCGATAAAATGAGTACCAAGTTTGCTTGGGGACTAAACACTGGGTTTCACGTGACAAGCTCACCACTTGTTCAGACGATATGCTCATGCACCCCGGGGCCCAGAGTCTAGAAAGCAAATTTCAGGGCACTGCCACCCATGGCCCTCTAAGGTCTGTTTGTACGTACCACTTAGTTTAGTTTGGCAACAGAAAAATAATGTTTTAAAAGTATTTTTAGAAAAACAGTAAACTGATATAAAACAATAGAAGCTTAGATGTAAACCCTCTGGTTATGAATTGGCACTAAGTACGGGACCTGAATGATTATCCATTTAACAACCAGTGTTTAAGAATTCACGAGTTCTTTTGAGCCTAGGAATAGTGAACTTTTCAAGAATCATCCTAATTTTATGCAGTTAAATGCATCATCTCAGTTCAGTGAAGTTTGGAGAGAATCATTCTTATTCTATGCTTCTGGTTGAATCATCCCAATTCGTTGAAGTGAATCTGGATGTTCTCTTTTGAAGAGAATTATCCTGATTTTATGTGGTTTGAAAATGAACTGTCGGATTTCTTTAGAACCGGAATCCTCATCGAAATAAAAATTAGACGCTGAAGAGTTTCATTATGAAGTTCTGTCTACAGAATAAATTGTTCAACATATGGTTGATTGTATACATGGAGTAAATAGTGTAGTACAGATTCCTCCTACTATTACATGAATTCTTTTGAATCATTTCAAGTGCTGAGGGTGGGACAAAGAGAAGTTGTACAGAGATATTATGATGGTGATCAGGGTGTGCTTTTTAAAGAAGCCCACTTTATCACCACAAATCCTTATAAGAAATCTTTGAATTGACCATCAAAAGATTCTAGGCTCACTCCTCATACAGAAGAATGTAAAATGCATTGCTGGTTCTTTGTGAAGACATTGTATGAGCCAAAGGGGAGTCTATAACCTCATGGCTTTCTAGCATGTAGTCATGGCAAGACATATTTTTTAAATTTGTAAACATCAACAGAAAGATAAAGTTTTAAAAATATTTTTAGGAGAAACAATAATTGAAGCTAACAATAGATGTATGGCTAACACTTAGATGTATGGCTCTCTGGTTATGCCCGAATGACATGCAAATGAAACCTTTTAAAATTTTGAAAATCTGTTCAGTTAATAATGTATGGCCTGTTTTTAATTATAGAATTATTTATATTTTTTCTTAATAATTCACAGCTGATATCATATGGAAATCAATTTGTTATAAAATAGTTTAGCTTGCTACTTTTATTAAGGGCACCCAGGTAATGGATTGAAGACTGTATAGTAATTTATGTTTTCTTATGCTGTGCACCAACATGACTTTATCATAGTATTTTTAAAATATACAAAGTGTGACATTTATATTTGAACATTGAAATTACTTTTAGTAAAATTTTTGCTTATTGTTTTTATGTTTTGTTTTGGGTGACCAGAATGTGTTAAAATATAAATTTTTCACATGTTAATAAAATAATTTTATTTTTACAGAGTCCGTTGGCATTGATTATTTATGATTATCTTTTAAGCTATCCTGAGGAATGGATTCCAGTAATTTTTGCAGTAAGTAGTCTTGTCTTGGTTGTATTTTCCATTCTAACGTTTGAAATCAGATTTATTGATTTACAGAAAGTAAAATTATTGTTATAAAATATTATAATAACTGTCAAGATTTCAAGGTTATCCTGTTTCGATCAATTCAAATCACACATAACAGCAAGGTAAATGAACATTACGAATCAGGTTTCAAAACTGCCAAGTTTATTCACTGAAGTGTCTGGTGTGCAAATATAGAAAAATAACACTTCTCTGACTCCAATGGAACCAATATTTTATTCCTTACGAAGTTATAGATTCTTATTCATAAGATTTATTTACATTTTACACGCACGTAGCATCGCGTGACAAAAACTCGGAGCTTGTTTACTTCGTTCTTTGCGGAGACTAGAAGGTGTTGCCATTCCGCTTTAACTAAATTTAATTAGAAACTTAACGGAACTGAAGCGACACTACACACCCCCTTCCTAGTGAGAGCGATTATGGAAGATAGTCTTTAAAGTGACTGGGGAACTTCACATGTCTGCCGGTTCTAGTAGTCTTAGTTTTATGATGAGTTTCTGAATTTTCTTCAGTGTTCTTGAGTGCAGGTGTTTCCCCAAGTTCCGCTTTCTTGGAATGGGAGTTTTGAAAAGGAATATCAGAATCTTGCACTAGGAAACATGGCTTTAGTCTGTCTATTGAAACTCTTTTAACTTTTCCTTGGATTTCAATATCGAAGTACTTATCCTTTCTTGCTCTTACAGGATACGGTCCAAGATAGACAGGCTGTAGCGACGAATTATTAATGTTGTTGTATAGGAATACGTGAGAACAGTTGGAAAGATGTTTAGAAACAAAGACTGTTCTATTTCCATGGGTGGTGGTAGAACTTGGCTTCATAGCTCTTATTATTTTCTGAAGGTTTTGAGAAAATTCAGACTGTTTCATATGAGGTACTGTTGAAAAGAATTCACCAGGTAATGCTAAAGGAGTTCCGTATACAAGTTCTGCGGATGAGCAACCTAAGTCTTCCTTGATGGCAGATCTTATGCCTAAACGAAAGGCAATGCTTCCAGCCATGATTTTGATTCGAGTAGATGACATTTGAGACTTGCTTTTAAAGTTCGGTGTTGTCTTTCGATCAGGCCATTTGCCTGTGGATGGTACGCAGTTGTAGTGTTTGTATGAAAACCAAGATATTTTCCTAAAGCTTGAAAAAGTTGGCTATCAAATTGCCGACCTTGGTCAGATGTTATGCGATTCGGAATTCCAAAGCGTGAAAACCAAGTATAAATCAAAGCTTTAGCAATAGATTCTGCTGATTGATCTTCTAACGGTACCGCTTCGATCCATCGTGTATAACGATCGATGATGGTTAGAAGGTATTTGAATCCTTTGCAAGGAGGTAGCGGACCCACCAGATCTATGTTTAAATGCTGGAATCTGTGTGGAGGTACTTTGAATTCTCCCAAAGATGAATGTGTATGTCTGTGAACTTTAGATCTTTGGCAAGATAAACATGCTCTAGTCCATAGTTGGCAGTCTTTATTCATATTGGGCCATATGAAACGTCGTGTTATCAATTTTATCGTGGATCTTATTCCAGGATGAGATAAATTATGGATTGAAGAAAATATTTTTCTGCCGAAACTTTGCAGGGATGTATGGTCGATTATAATTTGTAGAAGTATCACAGTAAATTTTCTTGTCGCTGTCCGGTATAGGGATCTGTAGGATTTTTAAGTTTGGGTTGTTTTTAAGTATCTCCAAGTCGTCATCTTCTTGACAGTCTACTATAGTTTGTAAGTCTATTGCAGATGGTACAGAAATGGTGTCTATGCGAGAGAGAGCGTCAGCGACGGTATTTTCATGCCCTTGTATGAATCGGATATCGGTTGAGAACTGGCCAATATATGACAGTTGTCGAGCTTGTCGTGGCGAAGCTTTTTCCAAATTTTGTTGGAAGGCAAATGTTAGTGGTTTGTGATCCGTGTATATTGCAAAAGTTCGCCCTTCTAAGATGTATTTGAAATGTTTTACTGCTGTATAGATGGCTAAGAGTTCTCTGTCGTAGGCACTATATTTTTGTTGTGCTGATGTCAAATTTCGGGAAAAGAAACTTAAAGGTTGTTTTTCATTATTCACAATCTGATGTAAAACGGCTCCAATGGCAGTATCGGAAGCATCAGTTGTTAGCGATATTTCAGCCTTTTCGGATGGGTGAGTTAAGTTTGTGGCATGAATAAGTGCATCTTTTAAGATCTGGAAGGCGTTTCTTGTTTCTGCCGTCCAGGTTATTTCTTTTCTGCAGTTCTTTTTAATACCACTGAGCAATGTTGTTAAAGGTTGTTGCAGTTTCGCACAATTTGGTATGAATCTGTGATAAAAATTCACCATACCTAAAAATCGTCTTAAACTAGTAAATGACTTTGGTTCTGGGAAATTTTTGATGGCATCAACTTTCGTTGAGAGAGGTTTAAGTCCTTCAGCTGACACTTCGTATCCCAGGAATGCAAGTTTTGCTTTGACCAAATTTACACTTTGCCGCATTAATACACAGGCCATATTCGTTTAGTCTCTCAAGGACTGCTCGTAGATGTTTTTGGTGAGTTTCTTCATCTGGGAGAGGCTATTAGAATGTCATCCAAATAGCAAAACACGAATTCTAGTCCATTCAACACACTGTTCATGAAACGTTGGAACGTTTGGGCCGCATTTCGTAGGCCGAACGTCATGAATGGGAACTCGAATAAGCCAAAGGGAGTGAGAATGGCCGTTTTCGGTATATCTTCTTCGCGAACTGGAATTTGTTGGTACGCTCTAATGAGGTCTATGGATGAGAAAACTCTTTTTCCAGCTAAAATGGAACTGCAATCTGTTAAAAATGGTAGAGGGTATCTATCAGGAATCGTGACGTTGTTTAACGCTCGATAGTCTCCACAAGGTCTCCAATCACCTGATTTCTTCATAGCGAGATGTAGTGGGCTCGACCAGTTACTTTTGGATGGTCCTGCATAAACCCATTTGGAGCATAAATTCAAACTCCTTTTTAGCCGCTTTAAGTTTCTCAGCTGATAGTCTCCTGGCTTTAGCGAAAACTGGTGGACCTCTGGTTTCGATATAATGTTCGATGTTATGATTTTTAACTTTATTATTAACTACATTCAGTTTTAACAAATCCGGAAAATCGTTAATGATACGTTTATATGGATCATTTACGGCATTTAAAATCGGAATATTATTATTGTTATTTTGAAAACAAGGAGTTCCATTGGTTGTTAAGAATGTAGTACCATCAATCAACTTGCGATTTTTAGAATCTACCAAAAGGTTAAAATTTGCAAGAAAATCCATGCCTATTATCGGTTTGTTTACGTCCGCAATTACAAAAGGCCATGTGAATGATCGTCTGAGTCCAAGATCAAGCTTGAGTAATTTTTGGCCATATGTTTTAATTTTCGTACCATTTGCAGCAAAGAGTTCTAATTTTGAGATGTTTTTTTTTATCTGCAGGCAAGGGAGGAATGACAGAAATTTCTGCCCCAGTATCTATTAAAAATTGGGTAGCCGATTCTTTGTCGCTGATGAAAAGACGACTCAGCTGCACCCCTTGTCCCTCCGTCGTCAATGAGAGACGGGGAGCTGGTTTTCCGGACTATTTGTCTGTGATGTTGATGAGTAGTTGCAGGGTTGTTTACACTTAAATGACTTATCACCGAATTTTTTATGATAGTAACAAATATCACTAGATCTGTTACCACTGTAACTCCTATCTCGTGATTTGGATCGGTTACGACAATAGGGACGACTGTGACGTTGCTTGTTTAAAGCAGAAACTTGTAAGCTAAGTTCACTAACCTGTTTTTGTAAACTTTCAATCACTTCCGTTTTTACCGTTATGGATGATGCAGCAGCTATTTGGGGAGTAACAGGGTTTAATTCCCAAATCTTATCGGCCATTGTAGCCACTTTTGACAAATCTTCACTACTAACAGATATAATGCTACGCATATTAACGGGTAAACGTTGTAGCCACAATGTTTTTAGGAAAGTATCTGTTACTTTATCGCCAGCCAAATTACGCATCTCACACAGTAATTGAGATGGCTTTTTGTCACCCAGTTCTAACTCACTCAGTAATTTTTGGGTTTTTTGAGTCTCTGAATCAGCATATAATGAAATTAGTCTATTTTTAATTGCCTCATATTTATTATCTTGTGGTGGACTTAGCAAAATATCAGATACCTGTGACAAAATATCGGGTTCAATGGAACTTATAACATAATCATATTTTGTTTGATCTGCACTAATTTTTGCATTTCTAAATTGTGCTTCTAGTTGAATAAACCATATTTTAGGATCTGGCTTCCAAAAAGGAGGAACTTTAACGCTTACCTTGGCGACAGATGCAGTTGTTGCTTTAATTTCGGTTTCGTCTTCGTCAGCCATTGTAGAATTCGATCACGCCGGGATACACCAGTGAAGTGTCTGGTGTGCAAATATAGAAAAATAACACTTCTCTGACTCCAATGGAACCAATATTTTATTCCTTACGATGTTATAGATTCTTATTCATAAGATTTATTTACATTTTACATGCACGTAGCATCGCGTGACAAAAACTCGAAGTTTGTTTACTTCGTTCTTCGCGGAGACTAGAAGGTGTTGCCATTCCGCTTTAACTAAATTTAATTAGAAACTTAACGGAACTGAAGCGACACTACATTCACGTCTAACACACATTCAACTGACACTCAGATCCAAAAAGAAGTATAATCACGAAAGTTTATGCCCTCTTTCGATTAAAATATTTTAAAATTTCTTACGGGCCGCTGAACATAGTCAGGCAAGATTATCAGTGTTACATGAACATTTTCAAGAATTATTTTCTAGAATCATTAAGCATTTCAATACAAATTCAAGTTTTTTGTAATCAAGAAATGTCACATAAACATTAAGAACATGTAAAATTTACCATATGTTTCAAGAATATCAAGTAAAATTTCATTCATCAAAAATTATTC